GCGTGACTCTAGGGAAGAAAAGATAGAATCAGCGAGGACCATTAGAAAGTTAAGGCAATAATCCCAGTGACAGATGGAGATGTCTGGACAAAGGTGGCTGGGGAGAGTGGAGGGAGTGGGCTCCACTCTGGTGCTAAAATTAAGGCAGAGCCAATGGCTATCTGCTGATGGATTTGTGTAGTTTTAGGGCAAAGAGTCAAAAATGACCCAAGGGATTTTTGTTTCTTTATCATTGTGAAAAATAATTCTGGACATTGGTAAAGAGACTTCATTCAAAAGGGTTATTGAAAGAGGGAGAAAAGGCAGGTCGGGGCGCCTGGGTGGCTCAGTTGGTGAAGCATCCGACTTCGGCTCAGGTCATGAGCTCACAGTTCAGGAGTTCGTACTCCTCCCTTGCGTTCTGTCTCTCTCTCTCTCAAAATAAACATTAAAAAAATTTTTTTTAATGTCTTTGATTTTTCTCCAAACTCCCAATAGTAGACAAAATTCTAGAAGGCTACCTCAAACTTCTCACAGTGATTTCCTCTGGGGCCTGGGATTAGAAAGAGGTACCCTTTCTGTACTGTTAAAATTCTTCACAGGCATATATTATTTGTTATATCAGAAAAATTATTTTAACAAGATATATGTGCTTTAACACAAATATCCATCAAAGGTGAATGGGTAACAAATTATGCTATTATAGTCACATGATGGAATACTACTCAGGAACAAAGTTTTGATTCCTACAAGAGCTTGGATAAATCCTAAAATCATCATAATGAGTAAAAGACAAGATACACATGTGTCAAAATTCATCAAATTATGCACCTAAATATGTGCTGTTTATTGCTATGAATTATACCTCAGTAGAGCTATGCAAAAATTTATATGTCTAGTCTTTGTCCCCTGATGGGGCACAACTGTTGGGCCAGGCTTTTAGAACTGCTACCTATCAGCTAGGCAGTTTTGCCTAATGGTTAGGACGGTAGGATAAGATTACTCAGTTCTGCTACTTCTCTAGTTGTGTGACTTTGGGCAACTTAACTTCTCTGTGCCTCAGTTTCCTTCTCTGTACCTTCCTCACTGGGCTGCTGGTAAAATTCCATGCATGAAGGACTGAGCATAGTACCTGACACAAAATAGACACTCGAGAAATGTTAGTTCTTGCGATTGCCCTTTACTTCCAATGGAGGGTTTTTAATCCTGTTTTTAATTTTCTATATTTTGTGATGCTTTGACACCTTAGGGCCTTGGAAACCTGGCTCAGGACCACCCCTCTGAGGGTTGGGTAATTCCTAGAGATAGGAAACAACTTGCTTTTGAGCACACTTTCATATGCAAACCAGCCAATCCAACTACCTCTGTTATCTCACCCCTAACACAGCAAGCCAATATTTCCTCTGCCCTAAATCACGCCAGGGCCAAGTAACAGACAACTAGGAATGGCCTCTAGAGCCTAGAGCCCACCAAAATTATTCAAAGTAGCCAATTCTAAGCTTGTTCAGCTTGCCTACCCTGCCTCGCCTATTTCTTCCTGCAAAAACCATAATAAAGGCTCATGCCTGTGCTTTCCTCCTACTTCTCCTGCCTCCTACAGACCCCATTATGGTTTTTCCCCAAAATGGCTCTTTGAGACATTCCCCTCCTCTTGGGAATCACAAGTACTGTACCTTTTAGGAAAGAATCTGCCACTCAAAGCCTTGCTGGTTATGGATAACGCCCCTCCTCATCCTCCAGGCTTCGAGGATGACTTACTAGAGGAATTCAAGTTCATTAAGGTCAAGTTCCTTCCTCCCAACACCACTCCAGTCCTCCAGCCCATGGATCAGCAGGTCGTTGCGAACTTTAAAAAAGCTTTACACTAAAGCACTATTTCAGCGATGCTTTGAGGTGGCCCAAGGAACAAGCCTTACCCTCCAAGAGTTTTGGAAAAATCATTTCCACATCGTGAACTGCCTCAAGATCATCGACAGAGCCTGGGATGGGATCACCAAGAGAACCCTCAATTCTGCTTGGAGAAAACAGTGGCCTGTTTGTGTTCTTAGATATGACTTAGAGGGGCTTGCTCATGAACAGGAGCCACCGGTGGTCGATGAAATTGTATCCTTGGGGAAGACCAAGGGGGGGACTGGAGGTGAATGAGGATGTCATTCAAGAGCTGGTGGAGGAACATGGCCAGGAGCTGACCACTGATGGCTGATGGATCCGCATTGCAAGCAATAGGAAGAGGTTATGGATGAGATCTCGTCTGCAGAGGAGGAGGAGGAGGAAAAGGCGGAGGAATCCCTTACCCCAAATGAGATTGGGAAGACGTGTAAAATGTGGGAAACAGTGCAAGATTTTGTAGAAAAGCACCACCCGAATAAGGCTGTAGCAGTGCGAGCGAGGAATCTGCTTAATGACAATGCGATGCCACATCTCGGCGAAATCCTCAGAAGGAGGCAAAAGCAAGTGTTATTGGCTAAGTTCCTTGTTAAAGTTGCACAAGAAAAAGATTCCATGGAGCCAAGAGCAGTGATTCCGTTAGTGATAGTGAAAGTCGGTCTCCTACACAATCACCCTCCTCTCTCTTGTCTCCCTCACACCAGCCATGAAGGTTTTCAAAGGTAAGTGCAGGTTAATTAATTTTTTTATTTATATTTTGCATTTTCTTTACTATTTTGTATTATATTACAGTATTGTAATCATTTTTATATAAATATTTTTGGGTTGTGGAATGAATCATCTGAGTTTCCATTCTTCTGGGGAAATTCGCTTTGATATACAAGTGCTTCGGATTACAAGCATGTTTCCAGAACAAACTGTGCTCGCAAACCAAGGCTTTACTGTAATAAAGTTTTCTTCTAAAGACACTTGTCTCCGTGTCCATCGCCGTACGTGATTTTTGAAAAAAGATTTTTTTATGTTTATTTATTTTTGAGAGGAGGCAGAGCATGAGTGGGGGAGGTGCAGAGAGAGAGGGAGGCACAGAATCTGAAGCAGGATCCTGGCTCTGAGCTGTGAGCATGGAGCCCGACGCCGGGTTTGAACCCGCGAACCGTGAGATCATGACCTGAGTTGAAGTTGGCCACTCAACTCACTGAGCCACCCGGGCGCCCCCATGTGTGATTAAAACAGACCTCAGGTACATTTCATAACAGAGGGCATCCTCAAGCCCCTGGCCCCTGGTCCCGAAGGCGGTGGTCAGGCTCTGCCATAACCCTACCAGCCCTCCGAGCTAAGCCCAGAAAGGGGTCACTGAAATCGGGTGAGACCGGGAGAAAGACATCTCTTCAGTACCAGTGCCCCAGCCTGGAACAATCTAGTCCCCCAGGTGCCCTGGCCTGGAGCTGCCAGATTTGATCAGCATGGGATAGGTAGACACTCACCGTGGCCACACTGGAGGAGCACTCAAACCATAGTCCTCAGGTGGCCAGATGGAGAATTTCTCCTCCACCCCCTAGCGGGAAAGCATGAGAGAGACAGCCAGGTCCTCTGAGAAGTGAGCTTGGAACAAGGAACCAAGGGTATCAGTTCAACCGCATCTTCTCTTCTGGCTCTGGCCCACCACAGAGCAGGTAAGCTGGGCCAGTGGGCAGGTGGTGATCCTGTCGCGTTCATACACGCCCTCCTCCCCAGCTCGGGTCAGAAGCGACACTCATCTCCTGATCACTATCGGCCTGCCACCTGCATCTTTCAAGTGGCTCAGACTCAACGGGCAGGAACAGGAGTTGCTGCTTTCTGACCCCCTAAAGCCTGTGCCACCTGTGGGGACCCTCCAACCTCACCCCATCCGCTGACTTCGCTTCCTATTGCTCACCTCTTCCTCAGCCACGCAGATCTTCTTCCTGATCTTGAAAGAGGTCAAACTCATCCCTATCTCAGCCAGTGTCTTGGCCTTCTTTTTCCCCCCACCCCCGCACTTCCCAGAGGGGGGTCCTCCTCACCCCTCAGGTCTCCAAACTTGAGAGGCTTGCCCCACCCACTCCACCAGGCACAGGCACCTCCATCATGTGAGCCTACTTCAAAATCGTCTCAGTCTCAGGGCACCCGGGTGGCTCAGTCAGCGAAGCGTCCGACTTCGGCTCAGGTTGTGATCTTGCGGTCTGGGATTTCGGGCCCCGCGTCGGACGCTGTGCTGACAGCTCAGCTCCAGGCTCCAGGAGCCTGCTTCAAATTCTGTCTCCCTCTCTCTTTCTCTGCCCCTCATCTGCTCACCCACTGTCTCTCTCTCTCTCTCAAAAATAAATAAACATTAAAAAAATGTTTTTAATTGTCCCAGTCTCTAAAACCATCCCATCAATGTGTTCACCTGGAGGTCGACCCTGCCGTCTGCTCAGGTCTTGTTTTGTTCACTGCTGCGGCCCCAGGGCTTCGACCAGTGCTTGCAAAATAGTGGGCAGGCAAGAAATGTTTGTTGAATGAATAAACCAAATGCTTTTGGGAAAAAAAAAATTATTTTTCTTTAATAGCAAAATAATATATATTGTGGAAAATTTTGAAAATATAGAATACCAAAATACCGAAAGTACAACTGAAAACCTTCACTGACACTTTCAATCGTCAAAGCAGAAGTCTTCCTGGGCTTTCTCATCGCATCCCTCGTGTATCAATGGTGTGTCAGCGTGGGGGTGCACATGCATAGATAGTCTTGCCAGGCCTCCTAAAGGGGCCCTGGCCCTCAGCTCCCCCTAACTCTTAACCCCACCCTGCTGTATCCATTCTGTTCCTGAGAATGACCCATCGTCGAGGACCTTTTTGGCCCAGGGGCTGGTAAAGAGTAAGGCTTCGCGACATAACCATGAGGTAGCTATGATCTTCCCCACTTCCAGATGTGGGGATAGGCCCTCCGAGAAGCTGGCTGATGTCACAGAGGCCAAACAACTGGCAAACAGGGATTCAAACTGTCCGGAGGCCCCTAGGCCTTCGTTCTACCTTGTGGCTTTGGGCTCTCTCAACCTGGTTATGGGCCCTCTGCAAGGTGCTGTCCAGAGGGTCTGGGGCTCACCCATGAAAGCCAACATGGATGGGTGGTGCAGTCACATCCACCAGTCCATGGACTCTTTGGGGCAGGCCCTGACGATGACCATACAGTGGGGCAGCCCCTTACACAGGATCCTCTCGGCCTCCTGATCCTCCCACCCCAGCCCCTGCAGCTCAAGGACCCTGAGCTTGGGCATGGCGAGGCAGGAAGAGAGGATTTCAGCCGGGGAAGGCATTTCTGGGGTGATGAGAGGGCCCAGCAAGCACAGACTCTCCAGGGCTGGCATGCCCTCCAAGACGGACAGGCCGGGGGCAGAGAGGCCCCTCACGGTCAGCCGGATCTTCCGCACATCTCGGAGGTGGCGACTGACGGCCAGGAGGGTGCTGTCAGCTGAGAGGGTGCAGCCCAGCACCTCCAGCCTCTGCAGGTAGCCCAGCTCCTGGAGGCCCGCATCCAGCCCTGTCTCGGTCACTCGGTAGGTACCGCCCAGCACCAGCGACCGCAGGGCGCGGAAGCGCGTCAGGCCCTGCAGGTGCTCATCACGGAAGGCAGGGACCCGGTCCAGCACGATGCACTCGAGCAAGGGCAGCACGGTGGGGTCCTGCTCCTTGAGGAGCCAGGCCATGGAGATCTCGCAGCTGTGCAGCTCCAGGGTCCTCAGGGTGCAGGGCAGGCTGGTGATGGGCACCATGCTCAGGTCGGCCACGTGCAGGCAGAGACGCTTCAGGTTAGGGCACTTCTGGCCCAGGGCCCTCATCAAGGCAGGGGACAGCCGGGGGGCCTGGGAGCCTGAGAACAGGTAGCCGCCCACCCGCAGGGAACAGAGCCGGGATGCCATATAGCGGCGAAGGAGGTGCCACATGACTTTAGGCCGCATCTGTAAAAGCCAGAGGCGGGGGTGACAGGGTGAGAGATACGGAGAATATCCCAAGGCCCCTGCCTGCCTGGAGATGGACCAGCCCCAGCTGGGGCACTAGTGCTCCCCTGGGCTTCTGCCCAACCCCTGCCAGCCTTACCTCACCGTGCACCTCCCCAGGAGTAACAGGCCAAGTGAACCCCATCGTTTTGACTTCTAGGTTTGAACAAAAGCACTGAGAGAAAAGGGAAGATCATAACAGATCTGTCTTCAGCAACAGAGTGGGGTCCTTGTAAGTAAGAAAGCAGAACAAGTCACCAGCATTTATCCCTTTCTTCGTGGCCACTGCCACTAGGAATAAGCAACACAAAGCCCAACTGAAAAAGGCTACAACTGTCCAGAGTAAATTAAAGTCATCTTAAAAATAATAATAATAGGGGCATCTAGGTGGCTCAGTTGGTTAAGCGTCCCACTTCAGCTCAGGTCATGATCTCACAGTTCGTGAGTTCAAGCCCCACATTGGGCTCTGTGCTGACAGCTTGAAGCCTAGAGCCTGATTCAGATTCTGTGTCTCCCTCTCTCTGCCCCTCCCCTGCTCTCTCTCTCTCTCTCAAAAATAAATAAGCATAAAAAAATAATAACAAAAATCACAACCTAGTAACGGTGAAAACTGCAAAACTTAACCCCAGGAAGTTAATTACTGCAAAACAAACAAAATGTAAGTGGAAGGACCTTGCATTTCATTGTATGTGCATTTAACCTTTTTTTAAAAAGACGGTAGGGGTGCCTGGGTGGCTCCATTGAGTGTCCACTTCAGCTCAGGTCATGGTCTCACAGTTCATCGGTTTGAGCCCCACATCAGCCTCTGTGCTGATAGCAAGGATGGAGCCTGCTTTGGATTCTCTCTCTGCCCCTCCCCTGCTTGCGCGCTCTCTCTCAAAAAATAAACATAAAACAAAACAAGAAAGAAGAGAGAAAAAAGAAACTGCATAGTGTAAAATTTGTGCATAGCATAAAACCTAAGGGGCTATTAGAAAATCAGAATCTGGGGCCCCACCCAGCTCACTGAATCAGAATCAGCATTTTATTATTTTCTTAAATTATTTTTTAAGATTTTTATTTTTAAGTAATCTCTACACCCAACATGGGGCTTGAACTCACAATCCCGAGATCAAGAGTCACATACTCTACTGAATCAGCCAGCCAGGTGCCCCAGAATCAGCATTTTAACAAGATCTTTAGGTGATTCATATACACAGTGAAGTTTGACACTATTTTATAACACTGTTTGTGAGAGTAAAAAGTTGGAAATAACCTAAAGGTCTGTCAACAGGAAAACAGGTAAACAAATTGTGGTATATTCACTTAACAAGTTGAAAGGAATGAGCTAGATTTACATGTGTCAAAAGCAATGTTGTGTAAATAAAGCCATCGGTGGATATATAATAAATAGCATTTAATTACCTAGACAGAACAGCATTATTTCAACTTTAGAAACACATTAACAAAATTGTATATTGCTTATGGGTAGTCACACAGGAAGTAAATAAAAACATGAAAGGAATACTACAAATCCATTTTATAATAGTGGTTACCTCTGAGAAGGGTTTCAAAAAATGCAATGAATACATCTATAAATGATGTATGCATATGCATATACATAAGTCTTTGCATGTATGTCTCACACGATCTGCAGCAAAAATGACCAAAAGTTTGGGGCGCCTGTGTGGCGCAGTCCTTTAAGCATTGGACTCTTGATTTCAGCTTAGGTCATGATCCCACATTGGTGGGTTTGAGCCCCAGGTTGGGCTCCACGCTCAGAGTGCAGAGCCTGCTTGGAATTCTCTCTCCCTCTCTCTCCCTCTGCTCCTCCCCTGCTCGCTCTGTTCTGTCTCTCAAACTAAATAAACTTAAAAAAAAAAAAAAAAAAGACTAAAGGTTAAAATGGGTTAAATCTAGGTGGTAAGTACATAGTTGTTTCAGATTATCCTCTATACATTTCTCTGTATATTTGAAATAGTTCATAAGAAAACAAGAAAAATACAATGCAAATGGGAAAACGTGGAAAAGGTTCAGTTGCAATACTCAGTAAATAAATTCTGGAAATTAAGTTGAATCTGGAGAATGATTTCTCCAGAAAACCTCATTAATAGCTAATGTAATCAAGAGGCATTTGTCGTAGGCTCACCGTACGCCAGACACTGCTCTAAGCTCCCTGAACGATCTTGGCTATCCTCATTTTGGAAATGGGGAAACAGGCCAGGAGGTCACCGAAGGGCAGCTAAGGGACGCTGCCGGGATGCACCCTGGACTGCCAAGCTCGAACTCTAGGGTGCAAGGAGTGGTCCTTGCGGCCCAGAGACCCCACCGCGGCCCATGCCCGCCCGGTCGACCCCGTGTACCGTGTACAGAGTCAGGTCGACGTGTCGCCAGAGCCACCGGTCGTCCACCAGCCTCTTCCAGCGGTGACAAACCCTGGGGGGAGGGGACCCGCCGTTAAAAAACTAACCGCGGCCCCCCGGAGACCGGATTCGCATCTCCGGGTGCTCCCCCCGCCCGGCTCTTCCCCCCCACCCGCGGGGCGGGGCTGCACCTGGAGATGCGAATTCGATCCCGGACCGGGAGGTAAGAGAAGATCTCTAACAGGACTGAGTCCGGCAGGTCCGCCAAAGTCGCCATGATCCCGCCGACACGCACTTCCGCTTGTGGCTGTAAGGGGATTCACGATCTCACCCTCCGGGGGCCAGCAGGCGGCGGGTGGCTGGGGTGCCCGCAAGGCGGAGGCCGCCGCCTCCAGCAGCCGGCGGAGAGTTTCAGCTTTTCTCTCGCGGGGACAGGGTTGGGCCCCGGCGACAGACCCGCCCACTATCTGGATGGAGCGCAGGGGACACGCTGGGAACCAGGCCTGAGCCCGGAAGGCGTGGCTGAGGCGGTGACGCACCCGGAGGCGGGGTCAGGGGCTGTGGGCGGGGCTGAGGTTAGGGCAGAGCCCGGAGGCTTGACCCGGCAGTGACTAGGGACCCGAGGGCAAGCCTGGGGCGGTGACGGGAGACCCAGGGATGAGCTAGGGGCTGGAACTAAACCACGGAGCGGGATTAAGGGCGGGAACAAGGCTGGAGGCGGGGCTGGGGACTGGGATCCAGCCTGGAAAAAGTGGCTCGGTTGTTGACTGGCGGCCCCGGGTGGGCGTTAAGTGCGGTGACGGGCCCGGAGCGCGGCGAGTCTTGCGAGCGCCGGGCTTACAGACCCCAAGACCAAGCCCGGAAGGCGCGCTCAAGCATTGGGGCGCCTTGACCGCGGGGTTGGGGCGGGACGACCAGCGGCTGGCCTAAAGGAGAGCGAGGCCCTAACTTGTTTTTAAACCTAGTAATGCTTTTTGATGCCTATGAACATGAATAGATTTGTAGAACTGAAACAGCTTGTTAAAGGGTGCGTTCAATTTTTCGTTCTGACTGATAGTGCTAAGTTGTTCTCCACAGAGGGGGAGTTGACACTCCCGCCAACTGTATATCATTCACTTCTAAAACATTCATTTTGGGAGCACCTGGTGACTCAGTAAATGGGCGTCTGACTTCGGCTCAGGTCATGATCTCGCAGTGCGTGAGTTCAAGCTCCGGGTGGGGCTCTGCGCTGACACCTCAGAGCCTGGAACCTGCTTCAGATTGTCTCCTCTCCCTCTCTCTCTGCCCTTCCCCCACTCTCACTCTGTCTCTCTCTCAAAAATAAAAACATAATTTTTTTTTTAATTTGTTTTTGAGAGCGTGCT